AAATCTACGGTCCTGTCTTGATACAACCTCTTACTTTTTAAACACCATAAAGGAAAAATTAAAAATAATTCTCATCTTCCTTCATTATTAGGGGGTTTGTTGATTATTTGGGTATATTGGAGAGTATTTAGTATTTACAATTCTATTTGCAATAACTATGCAAAGACGTTCGTAGTCCTACATAAAAGAAAATGAAAAACAATGCATTCATATAAATCCATTATTCGTCATTTTTCGCTCTCGTAACCTATTAAGCAACAATTACATTTAATTAACAAACAGTAACCGAAGGCACACAACCGCAAAAAGGGTTGCCCCGACCGCACGCGCTCTAATTACAATCAGATGCGAATTCATTATAAATTCATAAATAGGTCAGATTTATGCCCGATCCCCACATCCACGACTTCCACCCGGTTTGTCGCCTCTTGCCTGCGCCCGACAAAGTACAGTAGTAATAGAATTGCCACCCGAAAATTTCCCATCAGAACCCAACAGTAATTTATCGTTGCTTCGTGTCTGGCATCCGTCCGCTTGCCTCATCTTCTCCAAACCGGACGACCGACGACGGATGGACCTTTTTGCCAGTTGCAAAAACAGTTTCATCTCTGAAGCGAAGACGTACTCAGGTGGGAAACGTAGGGGACTCGCTCCTAGTTTAGCATGCCCAGCTACGACACTGTAGTTGGTACAGTCAGTGTGCGTCCTCGATGGAGGCGCCAGTCAGTCTGTGGAATTATTGATTTCAGTGTGGCATCGCGCCATGCTGCTCTGATGCAGCATCCGCAAGACAACAAGTGTGCGAGAAAGCGCCCCATCAGAGCGAGTCCGACGGCGGCGACAATAACAGCATCCAGCCAGTAGGCTGCAGGAGGTTCAAATGAAAGGATTAATTTGTGTGCTAATCGTTTTAATCTGTGTCCAGAGCTGGCTGGTGGAAGGAAAGAACCGCAATCGAGTTCAAAAGTGGCAACAACGAACATGGAAAACGCGCTTCGGGAACGTTCCGCGAAACGATTGGAAGTTTGATGTTCCCGTCAAAGGTAGATCGCATCGAAGAAATCTTTACGCTGGTGCTCGCTATGGAGGATTGAGTCAGCGAGAGATCGATATGTTGTCCGGAAATAATGAAGTTCCCAATGGATACTCTAACTTTCATTACCATTTCGATGATCCTCCTAAGACGGTCAGCTATGGTTCGACAGTGCGACGAAGTCATCGTAATGGCAAGAAAACAAAGGACATCCCACCGAACACAAGCAAAGTTCAGAACTTCCGGATGAAGCGATTTGCCTTCCAGGACGAGGATGATGACGCTGAGCCGGAGCATTTTACCAACGATCTATCGAACGCTCCGTTCGTCTTTGATACCGACTTCCGCCACGAGAGGGATGAATACCACGATGATCAGGGCTACAGCAATGATCTAGCAGACCTTGACTTTGTGCGTGATGACGAAACGATTGATTTCATACCTCTTCAAGCGGGCCCGAACCAGCGGTACATTACAGTGGATGAGAATGACCCTTTTCCACACGCCGCTCCACCAGCATCCCCGAAGGGTAAAACAAATGCCACCCAAAAGGTTCAGTACACACTAATCATCCACCACGGGGACGGTGGGGAACCGAGCGCAGCCGCCGATCGGAGAGGAGGGTCGTGGCTTTACTGGTCGCTGCTACTTTGGGTGCTTTTCGGGGTTGTTTGAACGCGCTGTAAACTGCGGCAGTTTTGGAGATTGTGATTGTGATAAGCTTCGATGCTGAAAGTATCCTTCCATGTAGAACAAAATTTATTACCCCCCAACCAAGCAGCCAACCAATATACGGGGTAGCAAATTTCAACCCATAATGTAAAAGTGGTAGCCGTTGCTGATGAATATATGAGAGCGTTCCATCCATGTCGAAAATCAATAAAGTTCAATAGTGGAATTATATCGACGGGTTGAATTGTGTACTGCGGTTTCGGTAGCTTCGAAAGCCTGTCCCTGGTTGAAGTTAAATTGCATTGGGATTGTGATTGTCATTTAATTATTGCCACAATGAAGCACGTTTTTAATTGAATTAAGGATTTCAGTATTCGATCAAATCTCCCGAGAATTCAGTCAATTCATTCATTTGCGAATTGGAGATTTTGTTTTGTTTGGACCGAAGGATCTCAGAGCTCTATGAAATGTGGTAAATGGGTGGAAATAGGTGGTAAATTTTTCCGGAAAATTTTAGATTAAATTTTCAGATTTTCCCGGAAATCACGTACTTTAAAAATTTATAACTCATGAACCAAGCAACGTAGAAAGAACGTTCCGTAGTGAAATGATAAGGAAATTATCTCAGAAATCCATACAAAATATAATCCGAAAAATATTTTCCACGAAAATGTTCACGGTTGAGGAAAATTGCAAGGAAAATCAAGAAAAACAAATTGTCAGGGTTGTTCAAATTTTTCTCATTATTTTGTTCAGCCTTCAATACTACCTTTGCCATGCGAGGTATGGGAGTGAAATCTGTAAATGCTTCTATTTCTCAAACAAAGCATAACTCAGATGCTACTGTATTCATATTTTTTCATAATAATTGCGAAAAGTGGTTAACATAGCTGAATTTTGACTTTCATCACTATTAAATCAAATATTAAATCAAATATTAAAAATCCATCATTACCACCCTGGCGAACAGAAATAGTTTTTGCAGTGCTACAATAATTATTAAAAAGTCGTTATGACAGCTATCCATATAAAATAATCCGTTAGAGATAACTTCGTCAATATACATAATTTGTCAATTCATAAAAAATCCCTGGATAACTGTTCAAACGACAGATTTAACGTGTGAAATGCAGTGTCTTTTAAATTCTGAAAGTGTTGCTGACCGTTTGATATGTCTAGGCATCGAATTGAAAACATTTATTCCTTTAAAATATAATGAATTTTGTGAAGCACAAGTCAAGAAATGTGGTGTTCTTATTTCAACCGCGTTTAATCTAGTATTATATCTATGAAAGTCACTTCCTCTTTCAATTCGATCACACAAATATCGAGGCAGCAAACCGTTAACTAGTTTAAAAATGAACACTAGTCAAATATACATTTCTTTGCTTCACCGACCATTGCAAGGCGTCTAGCATCAAAGCTGAGGAAGTGAATCTATTAGATCTCAAAATCAAAGGCATTATTTTATTCTGCAAGGGCTGTAATCTCGATATTCCTGTTGCATTGGCCAGAAATAAAATGGAAGGGCAAAAGTCTAGATGAGAAGAGCTGCCTTCCTGGCGTCGGTAGCATTGGTGCTCAGCACGGAAAACAAGATCGACGAAAAACAAATCAAAGGAAAAAAAAAAAAAAAAAAAACTATTCCACAACCGCAGACAATATATGAGCAAATCATACGCACCCTTTTTAGCCTGTAGATTTGAAGACATACTTCAAATCTCTGCGTACATCGAAGTAACCCGTAGGTTAGGCAAATAAGTGTTCGTTTGACTTGTACTGTCGCATTAATGGCCCTTCGCTCATTTTCAACTTCTATCCAATTTTCATACTGCCGTACTCTAACGGAACTATCTACCCTCTTCTAAGACCATTCTCTAGCTAATAAATTAGCACACTAAAGCTTCATGTTAGATAGCATGTCCAATAGACTGATGCAAAATTTGACTTTTTCGCTCCACAATACTTAAACAATTCCAAATCGGATCCTGACTAACCTCTCAAAATTTGAACCCCTTTGGTGAGAAACTGAGATGGCACAAACCGTTTGAAGTTTGTATGGGAATTACTATGGTAAAACCAAGATTTTTGTTCATGTCTATCTAATAATTCACCATATCGGTCTGCTTCAAAAGCTTTCAACTGTACTTGTAAGAAATTTTCCCAGCTACAACTTTGCCGAAGACCACTTTTTGATTAAATTCAAGGATCGAAAGTTATCAATGGTTCAATGCGCTGATGTCTAATGATCATGCTCAATCAACTGCTCAGCAGGCAACATTGGTGTTTCTGGGGCGTTGAATAGGACACAAAAATCATGGCTACTATGTCACACTGCAAAATACAGTGTTGCCTACAGAGCAGCTGCTTGATCATGTCATAAGTTTACCAATCTCTTAAATAATTAATAACTTTTTCCTGTCTCGTTTTTCATAGAAACGATCTTCAGCAAAGTTGTAGTGGCTATCGAACTGTTTCGAAGCTCAATATGGAAAAAGACTAGAAGGCAATGAACAAAAAGTTGAGATTTCCCATAGTAATTTACATGTAAACTTCAAATGGCTTGTGCCATGTCAGTTTCTTACCAAATGAGTTGTAACTTTGGGAGGCTAATCAGGACCCTATTTGAAACCATTTAAGCACTGTGGAGCGAAAAAGTCAAATTTTGCATCAGTCTAATGTCCAACCAACATAAAAACACTTCGAATGCCTTAATATTATGTTGAGTAACCTGATTCAATCGTAAGTACGGTAGGCGATAGAGGGAATAATGTACACCCCTATTCTGTATTTCGTTTCGAACGAAATTCTCATACAAAAAATATTTTTTTTTTGTATGAGAATTTCGTTCGAAACGAAATACAGAATAGGGGTGGTAATCTAGTCGTCAAACGATTTTCATAAAATCCAGAAATTTTAAAATCCAATCCAAATCCAAAGATGAAGAGCACTTCATGCTAAATCAATTAAAATGTAACAACACATAAACATTCATTTTACAACTATCACAATCGTACCTAACTTTCAAAAAATTTCACGGAGATCAACTCTTCAAGCATCAACCAGTAATTCGTTCAGTTTATCAAATCTTATGTTTGCTTTCAAAAGTTGCGTACCTGAACATCATTACGAAACGATTACGGTGCATTAAGTCTTTCGTGTAATTGTGTAACCAAACACGCCTCTTGCAACTGATTATCCAAGCTGGAATTCCCAGAGGTAAACACCCCATACGTGAACTTTCTATAAACAAGACAATCGGACGAAGAAATACAATACGCGTGCCATTAAATATCAACTGTGGTTTTATTTATTTTCAAACTTAATCTATCTCAACGTACTAAGGTTCTAACATACTAAGGCACAGAACCTGGCTCAATTTACTTATAAACCTTCGTGTCAATCGATTTTGTACACCAATTTTCAAAGCATGAAAAAGAAGAACCAATCTTGTACCGTTACTAACTACGTCAGCCTGATTGTATTGGAATGATTCAAAATCATTTTTCTGGTTTCGCATTCTTTGGAATCGCCAGGATTTTATTTTTGTTCTAGCATACTACAGGAAAAATCTACAAATCACCGGAACCAGCAACGCCAAGGTGGAAAGCTGCGCTTTACCAACTGCCGAATCACTGTGCTGTGAGGCAGTTGTCGGGACAACGGGTGCCGCCTGGTTGGGTTGTACATTGAGGGCGGCATTTGGAGCCTCAACAGCCACCGTGGAAACCGGCGTACTGGTAGTTGCGCCATTTTCGGCAACAGGGAACGCCGCCAGTGGGGCCGATCCCATCGGGTTTTCAGTGGGGATTAATGTAGTGTCCACAGCAGCAGGATCAATCGTTGTCGTTTCTCCCGCTGGCATTGTTGCCAAAGGAGCATCTCCGTTAGGGTTCGGAGGTACCACGGGCATGGGAGCTAGCGGAGCCTCACCATTGGGATTTGCCGGCAATGGTGCTAATGGCGCTAACGGAGCATCTCCATTAGGATTGATGGGCGCCAGGGTAGTCGAAGTGGTCGTCGTCGTTGTCGCATCTACAGCTGCTTCTTTATGTTCATCGTTTGGCTTCAGTGCATCGTAGAGAGCAGCACCACCAGCACCAGCTGCAAGACCGACGACTCCTGCTCCAAGAACGGTACCGATTCCGCTGCCCCCGGATGATGGTTGCTCATAGTGATGAATAACCGTCCCAGGTTGTTGGAAACCACCTGCCGGAGATTGATAGCCAGGTTGTTGAGGATAACCTCCCGGTTGATATCCTCCCGGGAAACCACCGCCAGGTTGTGCAACTGGTGCTCCTGGAAATCCTTGCGCTGGCTGAGCAGGATATCCTTGATTCGGCATGGGAGCGAAACCACCTCCCAATCCACCTGCTGAAATATTATGGCCATGGGGACGGTAAGCACTTCCTGCAACGACACCGCTCGATGCTCCAAAACCTGCTGCTTGTCCGCTCTGGTAGTTTGGAGCCGGTGGGAATCCTGGATTATTCTGAGAGTACGGTGGAGGTGCTTCGTTGAATCTACTATTCACATTGGGATTGGGTTGGGCGGAATATGGCGGTGGAGGTCCATGGTTCGATGTTGCCGAATATGGTGGAGGCGCATTGTTGTTGTTGTGCACATTCCATCCGATGGGAGGTTGCTGGGCGGGTGCCGGCGCCGACTTTGCCGGCACAGCTGCATGATTAGGCGTGTAACTCAACTTGGCAATGTCCGGACTCGCATACCCTCGATTCGTAGTTGGCTTTGTAACACGGCCCAACGCTACCTTACGCGCCTCGCTGATGTCGATCAAGTTGGCCAAGCATAGCAACACGCAAAAAGTGCATGCTTTTATTTTATTTTTAGGCACTTTTACACAACGATCGTAGTAACCCATTTTTACTTGTTTAATACACCAGTTTACTGCGATTGTCGCATACTACAGATTGTTCTTCGATTGAGGTAGAAAAATGCTACTCCAACAAGCTCCACTGTAAACAGGTGGAAAATTTACACCATCCGTTCGACGTCGGTGGCAGCGCAACAATTGAAAATGATTTGAATATTTTCTCACTCGGTTCTCAATCGGTAGCCACCGATGACGTGCTGGTCTGTATATCACACCACACGACAGCCAAGGTCACAGTGACCTAACGGATCTCGTGACCAAACACTTTTTACGATGCTTTCTAGAATAATCACTACGGACGATAGCGGTCGTTTTTCGAAATCCTTTTCAATCCTAACGAATATCCTACGTTCCTTACAATCGTTTGAAGTGCGGCCACCTTTAATTCCAGTGAAAAGTTTCGCGATAGATTTGTTATAAAATAATAGGCGACCTCTCTACGACGGATGAACGCTGAAAACTGATCCAACGACGACGACGACGATGATGATCTGAATAACGGAGGGATTTCTGAAAACGATACAAACAAAAGCAAAAGTGAGAGAGGGGTTATTTTTATCAGTGCAATACAACACTTTACATTTAAGCAACGGAAGCAAGATGTTCTCTTATTATAGAATGCGATTTCCCACTAACCTAGAGCACACGGTTGCTTACTGACTGTTAGCGGCAGCTACATCTATTGTCCACTTGTCGGATTTTCCGCAACGTATCAAACCAGGATGCATTGGGTCTGAAGTTTAATTGCACAATATGATAGATGATTGATCGCTGCGCGCTGATGTAGGTGGTAAAATGCAATCGATCCGAAGCAATATGGAAAGCTTTCAAGTGAACGCGTTAGAATGTGAAATTCATGTGGAGTCATTGCAATCAATCACTTCAATAATAGATCATCATTTCATAGTAAGTTAAGTAGCTTTTCCACGACGATCTATCTGAGGTGTGATGCGATGCAATAGGAATCTGCTAATTTGTTCAATAATCAAGGTGTTTGGAACAGTCACCCGCTCGGCACTGAGGTTGTTTTTGTATTAAATTATCACTTTCGACGGCCAGTTGCTTTTGTGTTTAAAGAAGAAATTTTCGAAAAACCTCGGACGATGAAATCATGCATGTTAAGTTTGTCAACCAACAGTTCTATACCAAATATTTATGACCTTATTGACGCTACTTACTTCTACTAGAGATTTTTCGAAAAATGAAGCAGGTATTTCAAGATTTGTCAAGCTAAGCATTACTAAATTCCAATGGGGATGACTCGATCTTCGGTGAAACAGAGATGGAGGGAATTTATATCTGCAACTAGGATAACAAGTTCAGTTTTGTTTGCCAATCTGGTTAAGATGTTAAACTTAAATGATTACCGACTTCGGTATTTTTTAACGAACTTTCAACAGCTGAACTGTTCGGTAAAAATCAGGCATATTAATTTATAAGATTAAGAGCTTCAAAACAAGGAAACAAGTTTTGAAATCTGGGTCAAAGTCTTACCTAACGTTCAGCTGTTGAAAGATCGGTAAAAAGTCACCAAAGTCGGTAATAATTTCTAAGTGTGTAGATACATGTAAAACTAAATGCATATGAATAGATTATTAAATGCTTCACATGAAATCAAAGTTGTATTGCTGCATGTTTCAACTAAGGCAAGAAAATAAATCAATGTGTCAAACGTAAGTCGAGACCGATTGATCCGCTTTCCTCTGTTGACCAGAACTCGGACCCATCCCTACTCATAAACCCAGTTGAAAAGGCCAATGCTCTTGGCCAACATTTTGTGATTTCACATAATCTTGGCCAAACCATGGTGAGCCCCCATGAGCCTGCCGTACTGGAGGCAATGTCTAGAGTCGCTGACACCCCCGTAGTGCTTGATGATAGTAGAATATCGGCTGATGAGTTGATAGCAGCTGTTAGAAGCACTAAAAACATGAAGGCCGCGTGAATGGATGGTGTAGTCAACCTCAAGTTGAAAAACTTACCGTTATCTTCAACAAATGTTTGGAGCTTTGCTACTTCCCTGCATGCTGGAAGTTAGCCAAAGTGATTCCAATACACAAGCATGGCAAAGATCCTACCAGTACCAAAAGCTATCGCCCCATCAGCCTGTTGTCCTCCATCTCGAAGCTATTCGAAAAGTTGACACTCAGCCGTCTACTGGTGTTTTCAAATGATAATAACATCTTTCTCAAAGAGCAATTCGGGTTAAGGAAAGGCCACTCTACACGGAACCGTAAAATTACCCAAAATTAAGTTCTTTTCACTCATCTCCCATGTTCCGTTCAATAAGCTAATTTTCAGTAAATCGCTTATAGTAGTTTGCATTTGGCTACGGCAAAAATAATTACTTACTCGTATGTATTTTCTACCCAAAATTAAGTTCAATTGACTCAAATTTTAGAATATCTCATATACTCACTAGTAGCTTATTGAACGATAGTCATGAGAAAGTCGAATCTCTCGTTCCGTTTTTGACAACAGCAAAAAGTGAGAGTGTGATGCAAAACTCAAAATTACCCAAAATTAAGTAAAAAGAACTTAATTTTAGGGTAATTTTTTTTCTCTGTGTACCATCCACCAACTCGCACGGCTTACTAACATCATCAAGCGGACCAAGTCCGTTTCCAATACATCTGCCATGGCATTGTTGGACGTCGAGAAGGCGTTCGACAATGTCTGGCATGATGGCCTAGTGTACAAACTGCATCAATACAACCTTCCAATCTACCTCGTGAAGAACATCAAAAACTACTTGTCGGGCAGATCATTCCAGGTATGCTTGAACAATGTCCCCTCTTATACGTTCAACGTTGATGCAGGGGTCCCTCAGGGTAGCTTGCTTGGTCCTATCCTATTCAACATTTTCACGTCAGACGTTCCTCCCCTGCCGGTAGTATCTACCCTGTTCAGAGTAATTAATGATTTAGAGTGTAATCAATCAAGGTACAAAAAAAAACCTTTAATAGTTGTCACAGATGCTTGCACCTATGGTTTAGGAGGAGTGTTAGCACATACAGAGAATGAAATTGAACGTCCAATATGTTTCACTTCATTTTCATTAAATGCGGCGCAAAAAAAGTACCCAATACTACATTTAGAAGCTTTGGCTTTGGTGTGCGTTATCAAAAAATTCCATAAGTTTCTTTTTGGTCAACAATTTAAAGTATTCACTGATCACAAACCTCTAATAGGTATTTTTGGAAAAGATGGGCGCAACTCAATTTTTGTAACAAGGTTACAGCGCTACGTGATGGAACTTTCAATCTACGATTTTGTGATCGAGTACCGTCCCGGTTCTAAGTTAGGGAATGCAGATTTCTGTAGCAGATTTCCACTTGATCAAAGAATACCAAGTAGTTTGGACCAGGAATACATAAAAAGCTTAAATTTTTTTAATGATTTACCCATAGATTTGACGTTAGTTTCGAAAGAAACTCAAACGGACAAATATTTGGCTGAAATTATAAAATTCATTACATTTGGATGGCCGAAAAACGTTTCAACGCAATATAGGGACTTTCATGCGCAAAAGTCAAAATTAGAATTGGTTGATTATGTATTGATGATAGAAGATAAGGTTGTAATTCCTTATTCTTTGAGAGAAGGTGTTTTGAATTTATTGCACACAAACCATCAGGGAATGGTGAAGATGAAAACTTTGGCCCGGAGGACAGTGTATTGGCCAGGACTAACCTCGGACAAAGAAGATTTCGTTAAATCCTGCGATTCCTGTGCTAAAATGGAATTGGTTACGCAACCAGAGGCAACTGGGTCTTGGATATCAACTACTCGCCCTTTTAGTCGTCTGCATGCAGATATCTTTTACCTGTAAGGAAACAACTTTCTTTTGGTTGTTGATAGTCACACTAAATGGCTTGAGGTCGAATGGATGCGTACAGGTACGACTGCAAGAATTGTAAACAAGAAATTCGCTTCAATATTTGCAAGATTTGGTCTACCTGTTGTGGTAGTCACCGATGGTGGACCACCATTTAACTCACATGAATTTGTTGGATTTCTGGAGAAGCATGGCATTAAGGTATTTAAAAGTCCTCCTTACCACCCCGGCAGTAATGGTCAAGCTGAAAGGATGGTGAGGGTTGCTAAGGAGGTTCTTAAAAAGTTTTTACTTGACAATAAAACCAAGTCTTTAGAAATTGATGACAAACTAAATTTATTTTTAATAAACTATAAAAATAGTTGTTCTGGAAAAGAGGGTACATTTCCTTCCGAGAAAATGCTCTCATATAAGCCTAAAATGTTGCTGGATTTGTTTAATCCAAACAAAACGTACAAACACTATATGAGAATTGCCGAGCAAAATTCTAAAAATCCTGTACTAGAAGAAGAGAAACAAAAAGCACCCTCAAATGTACCTCGGAATGATTTGGATAAGCTTGTGGCAGGGGATAAGCTATTTTATGAAAATGTTAATAAATTTCCGAGATGACTGGAGGCTGTATTTGTAAAACGAATGTCTGATAATGTTTTCCAGATTCTGATCGGTAAGCACAAGACGAACGCGCACAGACAACAGTTGAAGGCTGCTTACGAATCCAAGCGAAACAGAGCTGTGGTACGCCTTCCAACCAGCACAACGAACAAGCGTAAGAGGGATTCGATCGAAGATGAAGAAGATTTCCACGGATTCTCGGACCTCCCGAGACCAGAAGACATCCACGAGAGCAAGAAGATCAGACGAGCTAGAAGTCCCATCTGCACGCGGTCGAGAACTGTGCAACTCAGCTAGGCAAGACAAGGCTGAGGCTGCATCTTCAACGAGTTGAATTCGATGTGTTAAAATGAATTGGATTATTGAATTGTTCAACAAAGTTAAGCAAGAACATGCTGCAGCTGCATCATCAACGGAATTGAATTCGAAGTGTTTTGAATTATTGAATTCTTCGTGTTTATTTATGTAATTGGAAATTTAGACTGTTTGTTTTTTCTTAAGAAGGGAGAACTGTAGTATCTACCCTGTTCAGAGTAATTAATGTAAATAATTTAGAGTGTAATCAATCAAGATACAAAAAGAGACTCGAGATGAGAGTCCATAATAAAGAGCTAGGCGAGTCTAGCATGAGCCGTTGAAAGAGACGGAGTTGAATCCAATCTACATCGTTGAGCTTTTATTTAAGATAAGAAGAAAGATTGATTAACACTAGTTAATCCTTAATAATTAATCAAATCACATAGTAGTGATCAGTTACCGTACATAACAGTATGCTGTCAATGTTCGCAGATGACACCTACATCATCTATAAGGGTCGAGTGATCCGTGCTCTGGCGAGCAAACTACAATCAGGCCTGGATGATGTTCTGTCCGATTATTTCAAGAGCTGAAAGATTTGTATCAATGCAGCTAAAACACAAACCAGTCTGTTTCCACACTCAAATTCACATCGGCTTGTTCCGCCTGCTAACGTCAAGGTCCTATTTGATAGCACTCCCATTAAATGGTCGAGTGAAGTAACCAAGCAACAATTTTGGTTTTATGAGGGTTCTGTAGACCATGATTTAGACTTGTAGAATGCTATAAAACCTCTATAAAACTTGCAATTTAATTGGATAGTCTACCTTGGTCTCACCCTCGATAGCAAATTGCTATTCCGATCCCATGTGGACAAGACATCCACCAAGTGTAACATCTTGATCAGGTCTCTCTACCCTCTGATAAACATGAAGTCCACCCTGTCCCTCAAAAACAAGCTTGCTGTCCACAAGCAGATCATTCTGCCGGCTATTGAGTATGGTATGCCAATCTGGGAGAGTTGTGCTAAGTGCTACCACATAAAACTTCAGAGGATGCAAAACAAGATCTTCAGAATGATCCTTAACAGTCCAGAGTCGCCTATCTGCGATCAAACCACCAGATCATTCGTGATTTGGCAACATAGTTTAAGTAGTTAGGTAGGTTCCTGTGCTCAAGTGGGTAGGTTAAAAAAAATTTAAATTTTAACGAAAACAATCCCATAATAGGGTATCCTGTAAATTAGCGCCAAACCGAATATCAAGAAGACTGGCAACTATGCCAGAATCCAAGCGACAGATACAGTAGCGCTGCGCTTGAGTGTAGGTGGAAGCAATGCATAGAAAAATGAGCAAATACACAAACCTTTCTTCTGAGGATGTAATCTTTGCTATCAAATTCGTTCGAAGCATTTACCTTTTAACGGCAGATGACGCGATTGTACCTGTCGCATAGCCTTCGTATGAGAAAATGGGAGAGTTGCCAGTCTTTTGAATATATTGTCTTCGGCTAAACGCACATTAGAATAACCAATTAACTAGAACAAAGATGAACAGCCAAAGCCTAATCAACTTAAATATTTAAACCAAATGTTGAAACATAAAAAAACAGTAAATAAACGTAAATTTTACTACTACTACCACCATTGACTGTTTTCGGCAACCAAAATTTTAAAAGAAAATGTCACTGTATTTTCCCACCAAAAACATTTCGCTGAATGTATTCAAACGATTCCTTGGTCTTTCAGCTTCAATCTGATTACAGTTTTACCGCTGAGCAAACCTGTTATTTCTTTAAATGAAATGTACACACTACAAAATGCGACTGATTTCGAGTTGCCGATAATAGAACAGCTGGTTAACACGCAGTTCAAATGGAGAGGTTGTCGAAGAAAAAGGGGCTGCCGACAATAGTTTGGAGCGTTGTAAAACGCTTTCAAACAGTTTTGGACAATTCTGTCGATTGGAATGGATAGAGAAGCAAGCAGCAGATGAATGTAAACAAACGAACACGTCATATGTGTGCGTGATGCTGCTTAAATTTACGAGAATACGTAAATTCCCTAGTAACAGATTGATTAAATTTTATTTAAAATATATCACTGCTTCTTGATTTCAAATTAAATCCTACGACTTTTAGTTTCGAACAAAATCATTAAAACGTCCTTGGATTTACTTCGTCACAACTGGTGTAGGCAGGAAAACTAGATTTGCTGGATGGAATGGACAAAATTAGTACATACTACGCGATCTTATACACATGAGATTGTAGCTTTTGAACTAAACTATCGTAATAAAGGTATGATTGATTTGTGCACGTGGAAATAATTCTAGCGTTCAGAATCATAAGGGTCTAACTGCGATTCTCATCATCGACTTTCTGTTCGCATTGCTACACAGTTAAGTGAAACAATTTTCCGAAATGCTTTCAGCACAGCATACTAAAAACATGTATTAACTATCAAAAGCATCATCAAACGCACCGAAAAAGGCTAAGCCAGCCAAGTTACTAACCAAGGAGAAAATCGATGATCGCAGTTAGACCTTTATGATTCGAAACACTAAAATAAATATATTTCAAACAGTGTAATGCATTATGTCCTACGTAACATTGATAGATTCTCTTCATCGACTTTCTCTTTCGTTAATAACTTGGTTACATAATCGTTCCTTGTCATGTTTGTCATATTATACGCTAGATTAGAGTTTCTTTCATCGATCTGTGTGCTGAAAATAGCTGGGAATGTCTTAACATGGCCGTGACAATGCAAAGAGAAAGTCGACGAAGAGAATATTAGGACCTAGTGCATTGTTCAGCTTGATTTGATGTTTTCTAGTTAATAGGACGAAAATAGGCATAACCCCGAAGTAGCTTACCACGGATCAAAAAATTCTGAAACCTCAAAAATGATTGAGCATAGAATTAAAAAAATAAAACATACTTTATACATCACCAATACACTTGGAGGGTTGGAATACTTTCAACACACCTACAGTACCTACACACTAATCCAGTCAATAAGGTCTTACTGGGTTGTTAAATTGAAGAACTTTTCGATAAAAGTTTAAAAATCTGTGGAAAATTATAAAATGAGAAAATTTATTCCGAACTTGTACAGACTTAATAACGTTAACCCTAATTAATGATACGGATAACGGTCATTCAAATTCAAAAACCCAGTAAAAAATGACTCCTGCGAAATCCACTAAGTGTGCATATTTACCTTATTGATGTGTTGCGCGTTTCACACCAAATTGGACTAATAAGCGCGTTTTCACTTATTAAAAAGTGTGATAAAACTGCAAGTTTACGTCTAATCGTCTTGGTGTCTTCGGTGCACTTATTCCTTATGATGCAAGTAATAAGTGCGGTTTGTGGTTTACGATTTGACGGAAACGTGCACTTTTATCACACTTTTTGCATTTTTTGGACAGTCCAGTTTCAGATGCAATCAGCAAGATATAGAGATATCTCCTGAACTACTGTTTTTGGTGTATAAATCCAAAAAAATTACCCTCTTATTGATCCATTAAAAAAAAATCAAAAATGAGCCCAAATTCAAGGAATCGCACTTTTCGTTAATCGTTCACTATGCAATTTAACACCTGGGCATACGCGAACGAAACCACGAAAGCTTTTCGTCAAACATCATAACAATCTATGTTTGGCTACTGTCGAAACAACCTTTTTTTTGTTTGCTCAATGATAAAAAGATTAAGAACACTTGCTATCGGACGCTCCCGTTTATCTTACGTTACATCCATCTTTGATCACATCAACTGAGGGCACACTTACCAGCAAAGTTTGAAGCCCTCGGTGAGTTATCTACGTAAAGATATCCAGTCTGCCATGCATCCGATGTGTCCGGTGCCAATATCCAAGGAGTGCTGACCCACGTGTCCTGTCCAATTCTTGGTAGAAAACAGGCGTTCGCGCGAAAAAATGCTGGCAATTATCAACGTCTTCACCAGTAGAAATTAAACACTTTCGCGATGGAAGCCAACCGACAACTGACTGAGGACCGGCCGTTGCTGGTTGCTTTCCCTATGGCTTTGCATTGCATTTGCACACCGGTCGCTCTCTTTCTTCGACAGTATTTACGATACGTGCTGGAAAAGGTGCACAGAAAATGTGCGCCCACAAATACATCCTAGCAACACATTTCAAAACTTGTGTACCTACATGGATATGTACATTTGCCGGCACGTACAGACCATGCCTACTTGGAGGAAAACACAAGCGCCATAATCAGACAGACTCACTCTACATCGTTTCAGCTGGTGGAATTCCGACTGTATAACGAGAGAACAAATTTGTTTTGTATAAATTGCTTCCTAATACCTACCTACCTGCAGATGGTTTTGCTTTCGATCTGTGGTGAATATAAGTGAAAGGATAGGGATAGCTGCTACCTTTTATTTATCCGTTGCCGCGTATCACAATGTCATATTCTTATACAAAACCATCATCTCTGTCTCTCCGAGATGCTGACTGAGAGTGAAGTCGATTATGGATGGGGTAGTCTAACGATCGGAAAGAAGGAAAAATTTTGAGATGTGGAGATAAGAATTTTTATCTCACAACTTTTAGTCATCTGTTATGTTGAGCCGCTGTAATCGCTGCCTCGATAAACATGTTTTCTTTTTGACGTAGGATTACGTCTTTCGGCAACATATTGGGGGTGCAATTTAAAAAAAACCAAAATCGACCGCGTTACGAAAAGTGGTCAGGTTTTGACCGCTTATAACTCTGTCAATAGCGGATGGATTTTACTTCTAAACCAGCCAATCGATTGGAAAATTTTCTACAAATCTGCTAAAATGAACACTATCAATTTTTAATAGGTCACTATTGAAAATTACACAAATGTCCAACTGCTGCAATGGTGATCAAAATTATCACCGATTGCCTACTTAAAAGTGGATTCCCTAACACAGTGGCCGAATATTGATACCGAGCACGTAATCCTACGTCAAATAAACCCTCGTGTCTTCGATACCGTCCGTTTCCCATACATTTTTCCTACTCGCAAGGGTATTTGATGTAATTTCCGTCCTACTAGTCACAACCCGCACTTGACCTCTCTTTTCCCGCATAAACGCGAACCATAAATTGACCTTACCTAAAATGGTTAAAAATTGTTTATAATCCGTGCTAAACTTTAACTGAAATGGTTATGGAACTTTACATGAACGTTTAATGATAAAGTTTCAACCTTATGTATTATGGTTTTTTGGAACTGGACCTTACAAATAATGGGTTGTTAAGAACCATTACCATTCCAAATTCTTGTTTTCTCCATACATTTTCAGAAAGAGAACTATATAAGAACGTTTTTACTTATGATTTGAGAACATTAATGGTAATGGTTATAGGTAAGGTCCATTAATGGTTTTGTATTATCGCTCAACTTTACGTGGAATATATCGTGAATTAGTAATCAGTAAATTACAGGCAACCAATTCGCGATATATTCCACATAAAGTTGATCGATGTTACAAAACCATTCGTGGACCTTACTGACTACCATAACCATAACCATTAAAGTTCTCAAACCATAAGTTAAAAGGTTCTAATATAGTTCTCTTTCCGAAAATGTATGGAGAAAACAAGAATTTGGAACGGTAATGGTTCTTAACAACCCATTATTTGTAAGGTCCAGTTCCAAAAAACCATAATACATAAGGTTGAAACTTTATCATTAAACGTTCATGTAAAGTTCCATAACCATTTCAGTTAAAGTTTAGCAGGGATTATAAACAATTTTTAACCATTTTAGGTAAGGTCAATTTATGGTTCGCGTTTATGCGGGAAAAGAGAGGTCAAGTGCGAGTTGTGACTAGTAGGACGGAAATTACATCAAATACCCTTGCGAGTAGGAAAAATGTATGGGAAACGGACGCTAACTCAATTCAAGAAAATAGCTCTAAATCGACCAATTTAAGAGATACAAAAATGTTATTTAGCACAAAGTTGCTTGTAATTAGCTCAGCTATAACTTTGCCGAAGAATGTATACCTTAGTTTATTCATACAAAAAAGTTAGATTTTTGATTTTAATTATAATAAGAACCATCCTAGAATTCATTGTCATAAAAATGAGGGCTTAACTATAAGGAACAACTTTGTAGAAGAGACTTTTAGTCTAAAGTTTCAATTTCCGGCTCAAAACATATCAATCCACCTAAATCTGCATTCTGGACCACTGTGCAATGCTACCAACGCCAGGAAGGCTCCCACATCTGGACCCTACCTATCAACTCATGGACCGGGGATCAATGGCTTTACTTCCCTGGCGAAAGCGTGATCAGAGGTTTCATGTCGCAGAAAATCCCGGCGATGATTTGTGATCTTTTCTGCTCGATAGAACGGGAATGGGCCATTACGACAAAGTAGCGCTCTACCGAAGACATCAAATCAAGAAGACTGGCATCTCTGCCGAATCCAAGCAACAGATACAGTAGCGCTGCGCTCGAGCGAAGGTGGAAGTACTGCATAGAAAAATGAGCAAATACACAAACCTTTCTTCTGAGGTTGTAATTTTTGCTATCAAATTCGTTCGATTGCGTTGATCTCATAGCGGTCGTATAATAAGATAGAAGAGTTGCCAGTCTTCTTGATATGTTGTATTCGGCTCTACCCTATACCATTCTCCCATAAATCCAAATCACAACTAAAACTGCATAAATTTGGCACATTTGTAAGGTACTTTAATACAAAGCGAAGCGGAATAAAGAAATGAGGGTTGTAAAGTTGACCTAACCTACACGACCCCAATGAGTCAATTTTCCTCATTTTCCGGCAGATTTTTGAGGTTTTCCACAGGAAAACATGAGGTAAATTTACTCATTGCTGAGTTCCTGCACTTTTTGGGATTATGAATAAACTGAACTCATATTCAAGTTGATCTCATTAGCCATGTATGTATTCTATACACACCGCTTGGAAAACCACTCTTAAATCCGAGAATCATATACAGTCACCCCAGTATTATGGACCACCTACAATTATGGGCCACTTCCATATGATTAACACGTACGACTAGCTGGCCCATAATACGGTGGTGACTGTACCATTCCACTCGGCTAGGTGACGTGTAGAACGCTATTGAATGTTTTTGGATTCGATCGAGGCTGGCGACGTACAACCAGGTCATAGCCTATCTGGCAAGGTAAGTAAGTGCCCAGCACCACACTTGGCCACTCCCGGACATTTTCCGGGTGCCCCAAAAATCCAAATTACAACTTTGTTTCTTACTGTTTTCCTATGTTACTATGGAGAAATGTATGGGAAACGCAAAGAAAATGTTCATTTGCTTGTCAAAAATTCATGCATTGCTCAATATTGTTCATACCAGAGACGCCATAGGCCAAACTATGCAGAACAACTTTGTCCAAGGCTGGAAATCGATTCGACTTCTATGCAAAAAGTTATATCTATCCCTATCTAAGGATACGCAAAAATGCGCATCCACATCCGTATCCACGAAACAAAATTCTCAGAAAATGGTTGGTTGGTTGGTTGTCTTTATTAAGGAGATTTTCAGCCAGACGCTGGTTCATCTCCGGAAATATCTCAGAAAATCTGTTTTCTTATTCTAGGCATCCTGCAATATCCTGCACATTCCTGTTTAACTGTCTGTGTATTATTTCATCCCACATGCACGTCATCGCAGCAAAGCCAAATCTTTTTTGTAATAAAGCACATCCTCAGAAGCGACATCACCCCTGGGTCTATGGATTTTGGAAATTTCAAAAATCTTCTGATTTCTGATTATTTAAATTATTTTATTTTCTAGAGAATTCTTTTTCTAATTGTGATATTGAGACTAGACGTCATAGAATCGAGATTTTTTTTATAAAGGGGTGATTCAAATGTCACATTCACAAGTTTTTAGATTTTTTAGCCAAGCTCTATTAAAATTGTGTACTACACCCCGGATAAAAATTACCATACAATTACCATAAAATAATATAAAATCACAACAAAATCTATTGCCAACAATCGAATTCATTGTATGCATATCATACAGGTAAATTTTAGATATTGTTATTAAAATATATCTAATATATATAGTAATAATTGTCAACAATACAAAAACAATAAAATGAATGGTAAATGGCTCAACCCGTAAAAAAAGAACGATACAGGAACAATGAAATGTATTGTAACCATACAATAGAATTTATTGTACTTAAAATAAATTGTATTATCAACAATGATAAAATAACCAAATAATTTATAGTTTCCACAATAGAATCTATGGTAAATGTGGAAATCTTCAATAGAACAAGGGGGTTGTTATGTATCTTAACAGTACAGAAAATCATTTTTTCCCGAATAAACTTGAGTCATTTACCATTAATTTTATTGTTTTTCTATTGTTGAAAATTCATGCACTATGGAACGTATTCTAGATCTATTGTAATAATAATATTTTAAATTTACTTGTATGATACACATACAATAGGATCGATTGTTGGCAATAGATTTGGTTGTGATTTTATATTATTTTATGGTAATTGTATGGTTATTTTCTTCCGGGAAGTTTGTTGGGGAAGAAGTGATTTTTTGTAGGTTAAGATACATAACCCCCGTGTTCTATTGTAGATTTCACCATTTACCATAGATTCTATTGTGGAAACAATAAATTCTGTGGTTATTTTATCGTTGTGGACAATACAATTTATTTTAAGTACAATAAACTCTATTGCATTGTGACAATACATTTCATTGTACCTCTATACACTGATAAAATTGCTCATATTTCGTTTATGTGCCTCACACATACATTTTTGCAATGTGATTTCACTAATAATATTTATGTGTAAGACACTTAAGTAACGCCCAAGCGAAATGACAGCGGAAGCGGAATAGCCAGACAGTAACCCTACTTGTCGGATTGAAAACTAGTTAAAACCAAATCATCTTCGGTTAGACACCTTGATGTAATTTGTGACAACTTTCAAACTTTCCGTTTCCGTTCCGCTTCCGTCCACATTGCGT